AAATTCTTATTTTTCTTCAGGATCAAGGTAAGGAAATATAAGCAAAGTAAGGAAATATAAATGAAATATAATCTGCATTATTCTTGTACTGTGCATATTAGTAGTATACAGGGATCAAGTTTTTGGCGCCGTTGCCGGGGAGAAATTGATTTTAAAAGCAAATTTCTATTTTTAGAAAGTCTTATTTAAACTTTAAGCTATCTTATCTTATACTATTTTATTTTTTTTAATTTATTTTATTTTATTATATGTTAGTGTATGCGTAAGTTCTGAAAAACTAGTGTCCTACGATTCTGAATTAGAAAGAACTATTAATTCTAAATTAGAAACAACTATTAGAAAAATTAGAAAAACTAAAAAAATATAAATTTTGAAAAATCTAAAAAAATTACAAAAATGGCAGACCAAAATAATCAAAATGTTAAAATTCATCAAGAGTTTAGAACTTTAAGAGATTATGCCAACCCCACTGTAGATGAACTTCATTGTACTATTCAAAAATCTACTGTAGTGGCTAATTCATTTGAGCTTAAACCTGTTATTATCCAAATGACATCAAATAATCAGTTTGGGGGATCACCAACTAAAGATCCGAATTTACATCTTGCCAATTTTCTAGAATTGTGCGCTACATTTAAATATGATGGTGTATCAGATGATGTCATAAGACTTAAGTTATTTCCTTTCTCACTGAGGGATAAAAATAAGATGTGGTTGAATTCGTTAGCACCTGGATCTATCAGAACTTGGGGTGATTTAGCACAAAAATTCCTTGCTAAATATTTTCTACCATAAAAAATTGTAAAGCTTAGAAATGATATTACATCTTTTAATCAGTTTGAAGGGGAATCTATTTATGAAGCATGAGAAAGATTTAAAGAACTCTTAAGAAAGTATCCACACCATGCTATACCAGATTAGTTAATAATTCAAAATTTTTATAATGGCCATGATTGAAAAGAATTCATTAGGCCAAATGGTAGATTCTAAAGCATCATTAGAAGCTTTGAATGTCATAAATAATAAGCAGAATAACCCATATTCAAATTATTATAACCCAGGTTGGAAGAACCATCCCAACTTTAATT